TCGTCCCGGGGTGTCCCCTGGTTGTCTCGCGGATGTCCCGCGGTTTCGAGTGGCTGTCCCAGTGGTTGTCCCGACGGTGGTCCCGACGGTTGTCCTGATGGCTCTGCTTATCGCATGGTCGATTGAATGATTGATTGGTTGATGGATTTATAGTGCTATCGGTCGATGGATGTGTCGATTGTGATATCGACAGGCAGACAGTGAGGTCGATCTGTGGCTATGTAAGATCTACAGATCTATGTAATATGTATTTCTATATCAACCCGAGGTGGTACCGTAAGACATAGAAACGTGTATCGATAGATACGTAGGCATATCGTGATATAGAAATACAGATATAAGTGTGTACCTTATCATGTGCATATATATATATATAGAGATGTATGTATACAGTAAGTGGCATCGGTAATCAAAAGGTCGATCGAGGTTGCCGGATGGATGGAGACGATTGCACCGATGGTTGTCCCATCGCTGATTCTCCCCAACCTCCTTACCTGTCTTTTGCGCGGTCTTGAAAGTGTATATGCATAGAGTATAGATAACCATGGTTTGTTAATCTCTCGGTCTCGTTCTCGTTCTCTCTCTCTCTCTCTCTTTCTCTCTCTCTCTCTCTTTCTCGGTCTCTCTCTCTCTCTCTCTTTTTTTTGTTTCTCTCTCTCTCTCTCTTTCTCAAATTCTTATCCGCTCTCCCTCTCTCCATTCTCATTGCGCTCCTCCCGCTCTTCTACCGCTGCGTCTTTTTTTGCCTCCTCTTCTCCCTCCTGTCCCTCCTCCTTCTTCCGCCCCCTCTTTTCTCCTCGCCCCTCATCACTCTTCCTTCCCCAGTCATCTCTCCTTACATCACTCGTCCACTCTCCTTCGATTATCGTCCGTGGTCTATCCTCCCTTGCCCTCGCCCGTTCTATTTCATTATTGCTCCTGCTCGTGGCCCTTTTCCCGAAACCGCTGCTCTTCCTTTTGCTCCTGCTGCCAATCGTCCGCTCCCTCCCTGCCCCACATTTTCCCCCTGCTCATGTTCCTCCTCTGGTTCCTCTTCCCCCTCCTTTTCTTCCCGGGTGTCTCGTCCATTCTCCGTCCTTGGTGTCCTGCTCCTCATGCTCCTTCTCCTTCTCCTTCTTCTCCTCCTGCCCGCCATCTTCTCCTCCGTCCCCTTCGAATATCCTCCTCCTCCTCCTCCTCCTCCTCCTTCTTCTTCTTCTTCCTCCTCCTCCTCCTCCTGCTCCTCCTCCTCCTCCTCCTCCCCATCACCCTGCTCCTCTGCTTCATCTTCCCCTCCCCCCGAGTCCCTGCTCCCCATGCACTCCTCCTGCACTTCTTCCTCATCCTCCCAATTCCCCTCGCCAATCCCTGCTCTTCCCATTTCTTCCTGTTCCTCCGGCTCCTCTTCCCTAGTCCCCCGACGCTCCCTTCTCTAGAATAGTACTAATGATAAGAAATAAAACAATAACAGGTTCCGACATACACATATAACCCTTCGGAGATCCGCGCAGATTTCAATTGCTGGACCCCCGCCTCCTGGTGCGCACAGCGCTCCAGGAGCGGCGCTGGAGGCGCCGCCAAAGGTATCCAGCGCCGACCCAAGAAATCTGCGCGGACCTCCGAACATGTCGGTCAATGCAAATGGTGCCGCTGGATGTGCAGGCGTGGGGAGGGCTGGCAAACCTGGCCAGACGATGGCGGAGGGCCCAGGGAAGGCATGCTGTGGACGCTGGCCAGGGCATCGGTCGTTGGGGATACTGTGGCTGGCGTTCTGGGAGATCCCGACGCGCACCTCGAACCCGACTTCCCGGACGTGCGGCGCCATTAAGGAGAGAAGCCGTGTCCACTGCGGCGGGCGTGCCTGGCGAGACGAGGGCCGAGCGCTGGCAAGTCGTGCTGCCACACGTGCGCTCGGCGGTGGAGCCCGCCAGCCGCGTCAAGCGCACAATCGCCATCCTGTTGCAAGGGCCATCGAACCAGTTACCCGACCTGCGCGATGTGGCCCCAACGGCGCCAATTTCTCCGAGGAATCGGCGGCGAGCGAGGGGGGGAAGTGAGAAGGAGGCCTTCTCAGAAGGTGGCGGGACTTCTCAGAAACCCTCGCGCCTTTTGAGAAGTTTTCTGTGTCTTCGGGGAGGCGCAGAACATTTGGACGCCCGAAATGGGTACGGAAAGAATGGGTACACTGCCCAACACCAAATGTTGTCCCAAACCAACAGCGGCCGCTGTTGGGCAGGCGGCCGTCTGTCTCGAACGGACACAGGCCGCGGCGGCGTCGACAACGAGTCCGCTGTTGGGCATCGTACCCATTCTTTCCGTGCCCATTTCGTTCGTGCAGAGAAAACCTCTCAGACGGCCGGGGGGACCTCCGAGCCCAATTGGGTGGGCCCGCCCCTTCTCGCTTCCCCCCCCAGGGCTCGCCGCCGAAGGCGGCCCAGGAAGAACCCGCGGAGGGACCCGCAGAACATCGAGCCCTCCTGAGCGGGCCCGCCCCCTCTCGCTTCCCCCCCCCAGGGCTCGCCGCCGAGGGAGGCCCAGGAAGAACCCGAGGAGGGACCCGCAGAACATCGAGCCCTCCTGAGTGGGCCCGCCCCTTCTTGCTTCCCCCCCCAGGGCTCGCCGCCGAAGGATGCCCAGGAAGAACCCGAGGAGGGAACGAAGAGTGACGTAAACATAAAAACTCGGAGGTCCGCGCGGATTTCTCGGATCGGCGCTGGACCCCCCTCCCTGACGCGCGGAGCGCGCCAGGGGCGGCGCCGGAGGCGCCGCTGGGGGGCCCCAGCGCCGATCCGAGAAATCCGCGCGGACCTCAGAGTTTTTATGTCTATGTCACTCTTCGTTCCCCTACCGAGGAGGGACCCGCAGAACCCGAGGAAGCCCACGAAGAACCCGAGGAGGGACCTCGGGTTCTTCCTGGAGGCATAGGAGGCGGAGGAGGAGGCAGAGGAGGAGGAGGAGGAGGAGGAGGAGGAGGAGGAGGAGGAGGAGGAGGAGGAGGAGGAGGGGGAGGAGGAGGAGGAGGAAGAGCCCAGGAGGCACAGAAAATCGAGCCTCCTCCGAGCACGCCGTGGCAGGCACGGCCCCCGGCAGCGCAGGGCCGCGCCACGCGGGGGGGCCGGGCGCCTCTTTCCGGGGGGGCCACCCTGGCCGTGGAGCTCTCGCGAGCGGCGCCCGGCCGTGGCGACGAGCGCCCGTGCGCCTTGGAGCGCGTGCGGTGGCGCCGACGTGCGCCTGGCCATCGCTCGGACGTCCCTTCCCTGTGTTTTTTTCGATGTCGTGCGTGTGGTTTTTTCGCCGAATGATCACGGATGCTCCTCGATGGTCCTCGCCGAAGGAAGCATGCACACGTCCGAGCGATGCCGAGGTGCTCGTCTATGGCGAAGCCAGGACGAAGATTCATTCGGGTGAGGATCAGTCGAGAATCTGAGATCCCGTGGCACTGGAGGATGTCTCGGGCGCCGCGGCCGTCCCAGAACGCTCTGAGAGCGTTCCGGAACGCTCTGAGACGGAGCTATCCTCATCCTAGCCCCGCCCGACCGACGCCCTTCAACACGGCGCAGTCGGTGAACCGACGGCCGACACAGGCTGTGTGCAACCTGTGGAGCTGAGCAGGGCAGCTATTTTGCCCAGCGGTGACGTGGAGCACGAAGCACCGAGCAGCAACAGCCAGGACGTCTTCCAATTGCGCACTGGAACACATGGGAGAGCGGCCGCGGAGGAGGGCATAACAGGACGCCGCGCTCAGAGCATTGGCTGGGGCAGGCACACACAACGGCCTGACACGCGCCCTGAAGATAGTCTTGGAGCTCCCGTGGGCCCCTCTTGTGGCTCTCTTGGGGCATTTTGGAGCCATCTTGAGGCCTTACAAACCCATCGGAAGCCAATTGGCGGAAACATCAGCCTCGCTTGTTTCCTTTAGATGTTGGATCGGCTTTGGCCTGTCGGGTGCCGCCTTGGGATGCTCTGTGGCCGCTTTGAGGGCGGCCTTGAGAGGCTCCAGAAGCGGCCAACAAAACGCCTCCGCGACGCACACGAAGACGCCGACCTGGAAAGGCAAAAGCGCCGCCCGCCTTGAGGCCCGACGCTGCGGCAAAACTGCAACACCGCAGAACATCACGACCAGAACATCACGACCAGAGCCCTATACCCCGTCTGTCTGCTGTGTTTTTTTTCGGTGGGGGATCGACGGGATGGGGAGAAGGAGGACGACGAGGAGGAGGAGGAGGAGGAGGAGGAGGAGGAGGAGCAGGAGGAGGAGAGGAGGAGGGAGGAAGGAGGAGGAGGAGGAGGAGGAGGAAGGAGGAAGTAGGAGGAGGAGGAGGAGGAGGAGGCGGGCGTCCTCCGTGCACGCGTGTCAGGCACCCCAATTTTGGGGGAAGGTGCATGCACACCTCGGGTGCGCTCTGTGGACACCGAGCACGGGGATTCTTCATCCCGACTGTGGCTCGCTCGATGTTGCTGCGGCCTGGGACTTTGGTTCCTGGCCCCAACATCCTTTTGGCAGGCGTTGGGCGCGCGTCTTCGTGTGTGCGTTCGTTGCATGCCCCTCCGCCTTGCCCCCCACCGCCTTTTGCCTCTGGTGTGTGGGTGGAGCTCTGTCTTGCTCGCTGTCCCTCTTGTTCAGCCGAGGGCAGTTGGCGGGAGGGAGCTTCCCAGCTGCAACTCTCTGCAGCTGGATGTTTCTTTTGCGCTGTCAGCTCTGTGCCCTCTGGCACAGCGCGCCTGCCCCATCTCGTAGAGATGTTGTGGCAGGTGTGCGAAGAGCTTGGGCACTTGGACGCAGAGGTTTTCGTCCTCTCGTCGTGCCATTTTCTTTGCGCGGTGACCCTGGTGTTTACCTTGGTCAAGGTGCCAGCATCCCCCTCCGCTGCTGGCTCGTTTCCTTGGTCAGTCCAAGGTTTTGGAGGCGAGGCGTTGATGTCAAAAAAGGAGGTCTGCATCCGGCGGCCCGCGAGGCGCTAGAGCCACTCGGCGGATCCGTCGCGTGCGCGGGGCCGCTCCCCCTCTCGCGGCGGCCGCGCCTCCGGCGGCTCCGCCAGCGCGACGGGGCCCCTGGGCGACGCCGGCCTGCCGGCGCCGTCGAGCCGGCGCCTCAGCTCGGACACCTCGGCGCGGGCGGCACGACGACGGACCGAGCGACCGCCCGACCGACGGACGGCGCCGACCGACAGACGGCGACGACCCTACGAAGGACGACGGCGGCCGGCGGGCGGCGGCAACGAAACGAGGACGACCGAGGGACGAACGACGGGCGAGGACGACGATGACGACGAAACAACGAAACAAGGACGACCGACGACGGAGGACGCCAGCGACGGCGGCGTGGCGACGAGGGATGGCGGACAGCGGAGGACGACGACCCCCGACGGCCTGAGGAGGGGCCCAGGGGTCCCTGGAGGCGTCCTGAGGCCCTTCGTGGCGCCACAGAAGTCCTGACCCTCGAGCCTTGGATCCTCGAGCCTCGGAACGCTGAACCTCCACGGCGACGGCCAACGCCGACGACGCCCGACGACGTCCGACGACGACGCCGACGACGACGGTGACGGTGAAGCCGACGACCGACAACGACGACGACGACGACGACGACGACGACGACGACGACGACGACGACGACGACGACGACGACGACGACGACGACGACGACGACGACCGACGACGACCGACGACGACCGACGACGACCGACGACGACCGACGACGACGACGACGACCATCGACGACACCGGCGACGACGCCGACGACCGACCGACCAACCACGACGGCGACCGACGACGCCGACGACCGACCGCCGACGACGCCGACGACCACGGGCTACCCGGCCGACCGACCGACATGCACATCTTTTCGTGATTCAAAGCGCCCAAGGGGCGCTCGGCGCGGTCGGGGCTTCGGCGGGGCGCGCGCCGACGCTTTAGAACAGCTCAAGATCATCATCAAGACCATGCCGAAAAGGCCCAAAAGCACTGACACTCAGACCTCGACCCTCGAACCTCGAATCGCCGAACCTCGACGACGCCGCCGCCGACGATGGCGGCGGCGGCGACCGACGGCGACGTCGCTCGGTCGGTCGTCTATTACCGTGTTAGTCGGCGTCGTCGGTGGCGCCGCCGCCACCATCGTCGTCGTCGTCATCGTGGGCGGTGTCGTCGTCGTCGTCGTCGTCGTCGTCGTCGTCGTCGTCGTCGTCGTCGTCGTCGTTGTCTTCGTCGTCGTCGTCGTTGTCGAGCGTCGTCGTCGAGCGTCGTCGGCGTCGCCTTCTGTCGTCGTCGAGGCTCGGCGGCGGCGGCATCTGGTGGCTGCGGCAACCGCCGCGGCGCTGTCGCCTCGCGGCAGTGCGCCTCGGAGAGGCGCGTGAGGGCGCCCTCGAGCGCGGCGTGGAAGTCCTCGACGAGGGGGCCTGCGGCGGTCGTCCGTCGCCGGTCGTCGCCAGCACGCCGTCGCCGTCGGCGGCGGCGTCGCCGCGGGCGTCGGGATCGTCCTGGCGTCGGCGTCGTCGCCGTCGGCGTCGTCGTCGTCTTCGTCCTCATCCTCGTCCTTGTCCTCGTCCTCATTGTCGTCGTCGTCGTCGTCCTCATCGTCGTCGTCGTCGTCGTCGTCGTCGTCGTCGTCGTCGTCGTCCTCGTCGTGGTCAGCAGGCAACCAGCTGCAAGCCAGCCTGTGCCTGTGGACCGGCGCTCGGAGGCAACTCTTCCGAGCCTGGTGGGGCTGGGGGATCTGTTGCGTCGGGCCCCACGCCGAGGCCCGAACACCAACCGTAAGACCTACTCCGGATTCCATAATAAAGTGGGGGGGGTCTGATTTGGGGGGGGGGTCTGATTTGAGCTGTCTTGGAGGGTTCGGAGGGGTCTGGGCAAAGGGCCGCCCTTTCATGGATGGTCTGGGAGGGTCTAAAACTTCTCAGTCTGGGAGGGTTGAGACCCCCTCCCTTGTATCACGAAATCTGGAGTATGCATGCTGTTGCGGCCAGACCACATGCATGCTGTTACGCCCTGCCGTCCCCCCACTCATGTCTTATTGCAGGACCCGCTGCGGCGGGACTCCCTCGGGTCATCCACTTCTTTGGTTAAGGATGGGCAAAGGACATGGGCGGAACCAGGTTTGGTGTTTTCGCTCAGGACATCCTTGGAACTTGCCTGGTTTGTCGCCTGCTTTGGCCTCTGATTTGGCGTTTGTTTGGCCTGGTTTGGACGCATTCTCCGACTTTGCCTGGTTTGGGCCTCTTCCTATGCGTGGTTTGGGGCCCGGTTTCGCTTCGGACGTCATCGGTTTGGCTTTGTTTGGGTGCTGTTTCGCCTGCTAGGTCTTCACGGCATCCATGGTTTGGCATGGCTTGGGTGCGGCTTCGCCTGAGAAATCCTTACAATTTGCCTCGTTCGGGCGCGGTTTCGAATGAGACGCCCTCGCGGTTTGCCTGGTTTGGATTGGTTTGGGCGCGGTTTCGCCTGAAATTTCCTTCAGATCTGCTTGGCTTGGTCTGGTCTGGGCGCGGTTTCGTCTGAGACAACGTCGCGATTTGCCAGGCTTGCATTTGTTTGGGCGCGATTTATCTTGAGACGTCCTCAGAATGTGATGATGCAAACCCCCACCGCCTCGCCCTCGCTGACATGCGACCGGCTGCAGGCTGGCATTTGCCCGTGGTCAAGCGTTAGGAGAAAACTCTCCCGAGCCTGTAAATCTAAGGAACGGTACGGAACCCGAGCATCTGCTGAACCCAAGGTGGTCCTCATTTCAGCGTCTTGACTGTAGATCCCCGCGCACAGGAAACCTGAGGGGGGGAGGGGGGGGCCTGAAGTGATGGCTTTCGCGCGCCTGAATCCCGCTGGTGGGTCCAACCTCCTGGCGTCACCACGCTGGGAAGCACGGTAGGCGCGAGCGTCAGGAGCAGGATGAGGAGCATGACGAGCATGAGGAGGAGGAGAGGGAGGAGGAGGAGGAAGAGGAGGAGCAGCAGGAGGAGGAGGAGGAGGCGGAGGAGGAGGAGGAAGAGCATGAGGAGGAATGAGGATGAGGAGGAGGAGGAGGAGGAGGAGGAGGAGCGGAGTCTCTCACAGGTTGGAGGGGAGGAGGAAGGGGAGGAGAAGGCAGGAGGAGGAGGAAAGGAGGAGGAGAGGAGGAGGGAGGAGATGAAGGAGGAGAGGAGGAGGGAGAGAGGGAGGAGAGGAGGAGGAGGAGGAGGAGGAGGAAGGAGGAGAGGAGAGAGAGGAGGAGCAGGATGATGATGGAGGAGGAGGCGCAAGAGGAGGAGGAGGAGGAGCATGAGGAGGAGGCGGAGGAGGAAGAAGAGCACTCAGGCCGCCCCGAATCCAAAAATGATGGCGTCGCACTGTTGCTCCCTCCAAGCTTCTGCCAGCGGACCCGCCCCCGCTCTGCTCCCGCCAGCTTTCGCCAGCCTCCTGCCGAGCCGACCAGCCATAACTGGGGGAGCTGTGGTCCTTACCCCCCTGGGGGAACCCATCGCATCGACGATCTCTGGAGAGGGGTGTCGAAATCGATGGCCCCCCCAGGGGGGGAAGGACCGCAGCTCCCCCAGTTGCGGCTGGCCTGGCCGAGGCCGACGATGCGACGCAGGCGAGGCCGCCTCCTGGAGCGCCGCGCCTGCTCCGCTCCGCTTCCCGGCGCCCCTCTGAGTCTCGGGTGGCTCGACGGGGGGAGGAAGCAGCGCATCGGAGGTGGCGATCGGGGCGAGTGACCCAGGGGGGAAACATACATGTAGGTCGGGCGTGTCCTCCTACAGGCGGGTTTTGGACAAAAGGTTGACTATAGTTTTGAACAAACAATCGAACTCAGTCACTATTGGTCGAAAGAGCACGACATGTCGTCACCATACTTCTTAAAAAGCTTATCTTGAATATCCTTCCTGCAGAGGGACATGCCCGACTTAACTATACATGCATCCAGGGGCGCCGATTTTCGATGTCGTCGGCGAGGCTCCTGGAGGGGTGTGTAAAATGCCCACCCCTGGGCTGTTCGCCCATGTCGTCGCCTCCGAGTTCGGGGAGGAGCAGGAGGAGGAAGAGGAGGAGGAGGAGGAGGAGCAGGAGGAGCAGGAGCAGGAAGAGGAGGAGGAGGAGGAGGAGGAGGAGGAGGAGGAGGAGGAGGAGGAGGAGGAGGAGGAGGAGGGGTTGCAACTAGCATGTCCTGCAGCCACGGCACGAGGTCGAACGTTAAGGGGGTATGGACACCCTGCCGAAGCCAACCCGAGCCCGAGCCCGTCCTCCGCCCCCCGCCCAGGGACGTCAGACCTCTCGCCCTCGTCCTCGTCCTCACCGTCGTCGCACAGATGCAGCCAGCACGTCATGCAAGCACGACGCAAGCAAGCAAGCAGGCACAACGCTGAGCACGAACAGCACGTGGGCACATAACCACCATGACGTGGCATCGCCGAGCTTGCTCGCTGCGAACCGCCACGCCGTGGCCGAAGAAATGGTGTCCTGCCGCAGCGCCAGAAGGGCCTCCATACCCCCAGCTGCTCCGCAGGCGTGCCTGCAGACTTCCCGGGACCACGCTGCTCGTGGGCGCCCTCTTTTTCTCTGGGGTGGGGGGGGGGGCGGAAGGAGGGAGGGAGGGAGGAGGAGGGCTGGAGCACTGCACGCCGCACGTCGTCGTCACCTGGCCGCCTGGCGATACGACCGCGAAAATGAGGCGGTCTGCGGAAGGGCGTGCTGCTGAGCGGGCGGGCGTTGGGCCGCTCGAGCACGGACTCGCTCGAGCCTCTGCTGGTGTACGGGATGGGGACTGCGCAGGGACAGGAGAAGGGGGCCTGGGCATCCCGCCGAGGCCAGTCCGAGCCCGAGTCCCCGTCCTCCGCCCCCTCCGCGGGAGGTCAGACCCCTCGTCCTCCTCCTCGTCCTCGTTGTCGTCCTCGTCCTCGTCCTCGTCCTCGTTATCGTAATCCTCGTCGTCGTCGTCGTCCTCGTTCTCGTCCTCGTCATCATCGTCGTCGTCGACGTCGTCGTCGTCGTCGTCCTCGTCCTCATTCTCGTCGTCGTCGTTTTCGTCGTCGTCGTCGTCGTCGTCGTCGTCGTCCTCATCCTCGTCCTCGTCCTCGTCCTCGTCCTTATCGTCGTCGTCGTCGCCGCCGTCGGCGTCGTCGTCGTCGTCGTCGTCGTCGTCGCCGTCGTCGTCATCGTCGTCGTCGTCGTCGTCGTCGTCCTCATCCTCGTCCTCGTCAATGTCGTCGTCCTCATCGTCGTCGTCGTCGTTTTCGTCGTCGTCGTCGTCCTCATCCTCGTTCTCGTCCTTGTCCTCGTCCTCATCGTCGTCGTCTTCGTCGTCGTCGTCCTCGTCCTCATCCTCTTCTTCTTCGTCCTCCTCCTCCTCCTCCTCCTCCTCCTTCTCCCTCCTCCTCCTCCTCCTGCTGCTCCTCCTCCTTCTCCTCCTGGTCGCCGATCCGGCTCACCGATTCAGGCGGCGCCCCGCTGGAATCGGTGAGCGGGATCGGCGATCGAAAGGAATCGGCTCGGCGGAGATCGGCAGCCAAGTCGGGAGGAGCCGAATCGACAGAAGTCGGCAGGCTGGTCAGGCCTCCCTCGAGAGATTCTGTTTCACCTCGACGAGTCGCCGGAAGCGGGACCGAAAATTGAGGCGCCCAAAAAAAAAAACAAAAAACAAGGAAAAAAAAACAAAATAAAAAAAGAAAAAAAGGGGAGAGAAAAAATAGAAAAAAAAAAAAAAAAAAAAAAAAAAAAAAAAAAAAAAAAAAAGGCAAAACAAAAAAAAGGCATCGACGCGAAAATCGGAGCCGTAGGAGTCCGAGATGAATCTGTGTTTTTTTGGCGTCCTCTCTCCAGAAAAATAGTCCTCCTCCCCTCCTCCTCTCCTCCTTCTCCTCCCTCCTCCTCCTCCTCCTCCTCCTCCTCCTCCCTCCCTCCCTCCTCCCTCCTCTCCTCCTCCTCCCCCTCCTCCCCCTCACCCCCTCCCCCCTCCGCCCCCTCCTCCTCCTCCTCCTCCTCCTCCTCCTCCTCCTCCTCCTCCTCCTCCTCCTCCTCCTCCTCCTCCTCCTCCTCCTCCTCCTCCTCCTCCTCCTCCTTCCTCCCCTCCTCCTCCTTCCTCCTCCTCCTCCTCCTCCTCCTCCTCCTCCTCCTCCTCCTCCTCCTCCTCCTCCTCCTCCTCCTCCTCCTCCTCGTCCTCCGTTCCCCGAGAGGCCTGGCCCGAGAGGTCGGTGCAGCCGGCAGACGAGCCCACGTGGGCCCCACCGGCCGATCTGCCCCCCCCCGTGATGGGAACATAGGCTGTTCCCCTCGGGCTTTGATCGAAGAAGAACAATAGGGGGAAAACAAACCTCCCTCGCTTTTGACCACCCTCGCTTCCAAGAGATACCAAACGATGCCAAATTGCAGCCTGTACTGGTCAGGCCGCTAGACGAGGAGGCGCGTGGTATAGCTTGGTTTCGCCTGGAAGCGAAAGCGGGGTAGGTAATTCACGCTCTGAGAACAAGCGGCATAAGCATAAACTTTTTGGCGCTCCGCGCGGACTTCTTGGGTCCGCGCTGGGGCCCCCATGGCGCGCTCCGCGCTCCAGGGAGGGGGTTACTGGCCCAAATCCAAGAAATCCGCGCGGAGCTCCCAAAGTTTATGTTCATGCCGTTTTCTCTTCCTCTATGTGAGAGGCATATCCCCAGCTGGGGTGGTGGGATGGTGTGGGGCGGGAGGCGGCGAAGCGATGCTGAGGTCCCTCTCCCAGACATGCGGCGTCCTTTTTTTTTCAGTGCGGCGTCCCGGGAGGTCCTGGCCCTTTCCCCAGGACCGCCTTTTGTTCCCGAGTCGTCTTTTATGACCGTCCTGGGGCCCGGCGAGGGACCTCAGGGGCCGAGAATTGCCAAAAACCTCCCGCCCAGATCTTCTTCTAACGACGCGAGCATGTCTGGGCTTCTATTTGGCGGCGCGCACAGGGGAAAGGGGGAGGGGAGGAGGCTTCCCAGAAGGAGGTCGCTTCTGTGAAGGCGCCGGCTCCTAAGAAGCAGGGTGCTTCTATAGAGGAAGAAAACGGCATAATTAAACCTAATTTTTTGGCGCTCCGCGTGGATTTCTGGGATCTGCGTTGGACCCCCCTCCCTGGCGCGCGGAGCGCGCCAGGGGCGGCGCCGGAGGCGCCGCCGCAGGTGCCCAGCGCGGATTCAAGAAATCCGCGCGGAGCGCCAAAAGTGTATGTTAACGCAATTTTTCTTCCTCGACTCTAAGAAGCCTTCCCCCCTCCCCCGACCACCCCTCTGCGCGTGGCCAAGTCTGGGCTGATGATGTCGCCGATGTCCCCCGTCCTCCGAGATTGAGCAGGGACTGACCGCCCCGGCATTCCTACGGGCCTACCTCGAAATTTCTTGAAACCAAAACGTTTTGATATCAACATCAATGTTCTTAGTGCATAAGCCCGACGTGTCAAAACAAGACCGTCTGAGCCAGACATGCTCTAAGACCATGCTGTGCAGACCACAAAAGCTTCTTCGAGCATTCTTTGGTGGGCCTATAGGTAAGCCAGGACGCTTCGCCACTGCTTGACGAGAGGCCTGGCCCGAGAGAGAAGGCGCCCGCGGCTCAGAGGCCCCCACGGGCCACGCCTGCGGCCGCCTTCTCGGGCCTCTACAGGCCCGGGTCTATGCAGGCCCCTGGTCGGTCAGGCTCGGCAGAATCCCCAGACATGCTCTCGTCGTGAAAGAAACTCAGCACGGGAAGTCTTTCGCGATGGTTCCGGCCCGCGCCTTCTAAGAACCAGGGTCTGGATTAGCATCGACGCGAGCAGGCCTGGGTGTGCACCGGCCCCCGTCTCTCTCTCTCTCTCTCCCGGCTCGGCGCCTGGCGGACGAAGAGGAGGAGGAGGAGGAGGCGCAGGAGGAGGAGGAGGAGGAGGAGGTCTGGGCGAGGCGTCTCGTCGTCGTCGTCGTCGTCGTCGTCGTCGTCGTCGTCGTCGTCTTCGTCGTCGTCTTCGTCGTCGTCTTCGTCGTTGCCGTCTCTCTCCGCCGGCTCGGCGCCTGGCGGCGCGTCACCCTCCGGCGGCAGCGGGCACCGCCGCGCGGCCCCCGAGGCCATCGCGGTCGGCGCGCGCGCGCCCCCTGCGGCCGCGGCCGCGGGCGCGGGCGCGCGCGGGGGGGGCGCCGCCTGGAGGCGTTCGGTGCGGAGGTTCGGGATTTTTTTTTTTTTTTTTTTGTTTTTTTTTTTTTTTTTTTTTTTTTTTTTTTTTTTTTTTTTTTTTTGTTTTTTTGCCCACAAGGCCTCGGTCACCAAGGTCATCAGGAGAGACATCGCCCCTGCGGCTCTTCAGCCTGTGCCAGAGGCCGTGCGACAGGGATGCACAGCAAGGCGTGAACCGCCCAGGGAGAATTGTTGCTTGTGCAGTCGGCCCGTCGTGAGAAACTTACGACTCGAGATCCTTCGCTATCTTCGGCCTCTGGGGGCCCTTACCGGGCCTCGGGACCGTCAAGAAGCGACTCGGGATGAAGAACTGGACCTGGGGAAGGGGTTGAGACCTCTGGGGGGTCGACGTTGCGAAACAATCACGACGCCGGGGGCCTGGGCAGTCAAGACGCATAAAAAGGATGCGCGGTAAGGATGCGAGCGAGGCTGGCCGGCGACAGTCGCTAAGGATGGGCCGAATGGGCAATGATGCAAGGGTAGCCTTGGAAAGTTGCTCATCCTGACCATGCGGGTTGACTGCATTACAGCTGGATCTAGGCCAGAACAACATCCTTCAAGAACATGAGACCCTCCGTCGGCCAAAGCAAACATGATGTTCAAAAACATGCAACAAACACGAAGAGCACTAGGGTAACCTCCCCGAACCGACCTCGATCTTATACCTCGGTCCGACTGTATCGTTGTTCGTGAGCTTCTTTATGCATGTATGGCTGTGCTGCTTTATGTCGCCGCGCCGCTTATTACGAGCGCGCCCAGGTGGACGACGCCGACACCGCGGCAAACCCACGGCAAATCCTGCACCCCGCGCCCCAGGTGGACGAAACCGGCGCCGCGGCAAATCCCACGGCGAGCCTGCCGTGTCCGAGGCGCGTTTGCCCTTGTGGCCGAGGCGCCCTCCCCAAGACGTAAGGCCGCGCGTCGGAACAAACGGCGCGGCGACACATGTATACTGTACACGCGTACACTTATCTTTACTGTTGTCGCTGTTGTTATTCGCATTGCTATGCTTGAGCATACGTTCGGTTATTACTTGTTTCTCTTATGGCCTTTATTCGATAGTATCCGAGTTTCTGGAGTTTTTAATCGCCTCGTGCGACCGCGGCCTGGGAAACTGTTCCTGAGTGGCATTTCTACCCGTGGCGCAGAGCTTTCGTAGAGCCCGCGAGTCTGGGGACGGAGGTGCACGCTCTTTCGCCCTGCTTGGGCCTCCGCTCTTCGTCGCCATGGCTGGACTCCCCTCCGAAATGCTTGCCGAAACGCGTTCCTGGCGAGGTCCACGGGTGGATTTCGAGGGGGGATCGTGGGCGCGTGTGCAGGGCATGCCCTCGTAGATCGAGCCCATGAGGCTGGTCTGGGGAGGGAGGGAGAAATGGGCACGACTTGGCACGCCCGACACGGGTGCGGAACAAGTAGGGTACTATGCTAAACAGCAGCTGTTGTCCGAAACTGGCAGCGGCCGCTGTTGGGCAGGCGAGTCCCTGTCTCAAGGGGACAGCGTTCCCGGCAACACCGACAGCGAGCCCTGTTCAACATGAGCAGGAACTGCTGCTAGTCGTCGTCCCCATGCTTTTCGTACTTGTGTCGATCCTGCACAGGGGAACCAACAGTGACACAAACATGAAAACTCGGAGGTCCGCGCGGATTTCTCGGATCGGCGCTGGACCCCTCTCCTCCTCCTCCTCCTCCTCCTCCTCCTCCTCCCCTCCTCCCTCCTGCTCCTCCTCCTCCCTCCTGCTCCTCCCTCCTCCTCCTCCACCTCCTCCTCCTCCTCCTCCTCCTCCTCCTCCTCCTCCCTCCTCCCTCCTCCTCCTCCCTCCTCCTCCTCCTCCCTCCTCCCTCCTCCCCTCCTCCCTCCTCCCTCCCCCCTCCTCCCTCCTCCCCTCTCCTCCTCCCTCC